ATTTTCACATAACCACCTTGCTGTCAACTACCTGCAAGCATATCAGTCTATTCAAGCAGATCAGAGCTCATTGCATTTATGTCAGTCATAGGTCATTTTCAAGAATCCAGTGGATGTCTTGATCTCACAGTATACACACTGTCACTTCCTCCATCCGTAAATCCATGAAAATTACAGAACAAAAATAATGGTGACACTGAATAATTCAGTAATACACTTCGACAATATCTGCTAAACTCCTGTCAACACAGCCTACTTTGCTGTCATTGCAGCATACAGTGGAACTGGCTTTACAGTCCTATGGACTATTATTAGTCTGTTTTTTGGATACTTACACCTTTTGCAAGAATGGGGATAGAACAATTAACTGAGATTTCTACATAATGATGTTACAACTAGAAGGATGAAACCTGAACCAAACAAGAATATATTGATATTTTGTCACAGTTACAGCTAGGTTGATGTAAGAGTGATCAACTCTACTAGGTCAGCTTAGTCTTCGCTGTCTGGATTTGTGTCCATCTCCTCCCTTGCCATGCTCACAATATGATGTGAGAGCACACTTAGAGGCAACCAGGGAGTTACATAATTTATGACAGAAATATAAAAATCCAGGCATGGCACAGAAGTGGATGGTTGAAGATACTTTACCTAAAGATTCAGCAATTCTTCTTTAGACGAGAAGGGAGAAGTAAATCATGAAGCTGAGTCCTCGAGGTGAAGGAAAAAACACAGAGCAGCTTTGTGTTAATACAAGTGGAGATACTACTGTGGCACATTAATGTGAAGGAATGAAGAACCTCCTTAGGTGTTTTACGTGAACTTGAAAAATATCTTTTGCTCATGAAAGAGGAGAACAAGGGGTGATTCAGTCTCATATCTGGGCTTTCTACATATTGGATAAGGGATCTGTAGTAGTAGAAATATCTTTAACCCAGACCAAAAAGTGAATAATCTGAGCTAACAGGTGAAAGGCAAAGCTAAACAATTTAAAAATGTTAAGTCAGAATCTTTTCACAGTATTGCACCTCTAGAATAATTTTATGTGCAACTGTAATAGACCCATTACCATTTGAAGCCTTTAAATGAAGATTGAACAACTTCAAAAATAAGAACTGCTGTAGCTTAAAGATACCGTGTTGAAATTATTAAGACGGGGTATTTGGACTATTTGGATCTTTTCTGATCTTTAGGTCTATGTCTAGTTGCACAAGCCTGTAGTAATGAGTCTTCCTGCTGTAATCTAGCTGTACTTTTAGTTCCTGGAATTTTTCCATAATGTGCAAATTAAGATGGAAAGTTACTTATTCTGATTAGAAAAATACATAAATCAAGGCTCAAAAATGAAAGGTAATCCTTGATTATAATTTTGCTTTTGCCCTTCTGGGATCATGCTGTCCTCAAACCATTGTGCATATTTCTATAAACGATTGACTTTAAATGTTTCTTCATAAGTTATTTTAAAGAAATTATGTATAGACTCCATGTTCACTTTCTCCCCATCCTTTCTTTCCCTAGTATTTGGCCTTCTGTGCAGTGCAGATGGAGAACACTTGGTTATGGTCGTGACACTTGATTATGTCTTTGAAGGACAACACATGGACACTGTATAGTGGCAGAATGTATTTTGTTTATTGTAGACTGGACCATATACAAATCAGTGAGAGGAAAAAATGAAAGCCATTTGGTTCTGGCTTTCTGCATAGAGAAACAAGAGGGTGATAATTTTTACTCACTTGGGAAACTGTTTAGTTCAGCTCCAGAAGGGAAAGAATGGAATTTGATTGTAATGGACCTGAAGATGAACACTATTTCCCACTTAGTGCCAAACCAGTATTGGCTATGAAAAGCTCTTAATATTTGACCTTAAGGAACCTCTTTAAGAGGCATTCTGGATGCAAGGCCTACACGTAAACCTTTGAATATGGTAACACCTCTAGCCAGCTACACCAAATGCTTTTGGCAAATCCCTAGCTGAAAAGCATCTATTTCTAAACAAAATTTATTAAGAAATTATATACCACATAGAGATAGCACCTAGAACATTTTTCAGTGCCACAATAGTGTTTTTCTCTAACCTCTGTAGGTCAGCTTACAGGGTGGTATGGACACTCAAAGGTAAGATAGACAATCTAGGAGATTTCAACCATGTTCAGCGGCTGCAGAAGCAACAGAGACAAAGGAAGACTTTAGCACTCCCTGACCAGCAAGTACCAAGTCTATACATCAAGAGATAGTTTGACAGAACAGTCCCTTCAGTGGCAATGCTGTCCCCACACCCTCACTTGTCCCCTCAGCGGTTTTGGTATAACAAGCTGCTGAGCCAGGGAACCAAGGCAATTAAATTTCTGGTTTTCTTTGTAGTTAGCTTCCCCAAGGGATTCTTAAGTCAGTGCTGTTACCAGAAGAAATGCTTGCCAAGGCTTGTTGACCATGCATCTGTTCAGATCCTGGGAGCGCCTCTTCAGTTTTGCTCAGGTTAGCTCAAGTCACTGTTAAACTGCTGTTAAACTAAATTGGTTGACTGCTCATAGCTGAGCAGTGAGAGGCATAATTTCCAACAATGCAGTAGTAATAACTGCTGGAAATAGTACTATCATGAACTGCCACAGTCATTCCCAAATCCCAGTTGGCAATTAGAGGAGGACAGAGACAAGACATCAATAAGTATAATCTGCATGAAAAACCTGTAAGACACCTAAGGTGGGATTTACATATATACATATATATATATATATATATATGGGATTTGGGAATAATATCTCAAAAGGCTTAATTTGATTATAAAACATGGAGTACAGAGTTTCTGTAAATCCTTTAGAAGGAAAGGTAATTCAGAGGTATAGCTTACTGGCTCAAAAGAGCTCAGTTCTTTGAATGCTTAGTTCAGCAAGTGTCTTGGGTAAAGACAGCACTGGTTACCTTAAACCACTTGACGTACGATTTGAATCAGCAGTTCTTCCACGCTTTTGCAATCATGATTTTACCACAATAAGGTCAAGGCAGTTGGACATAGAAGAATGTAAGTTTCAGTTAATTCTCCTAGGCTCTGAACTAGGCTGATGTCAGTTTAAGATTAAAGAAATTATGCCTGGTGGTCCATGAAACAAGTTGTTCCACTTAACAAGTACTATTTGAAGGGGAAAATCCTTACATCCCCACACAATATTATTCATACAAGAGGTAATCTATTAAAGTAAATCATCTCTAGGCAGCCATTCATAAGATATAGGAGATACTGGGTTTGCTGCAGAACATTTCTGGAGGAGGAAAATACTGTAAAAGTGAAGGAACATGAAATCCTTTTCTTGAAATGTCTGACAACTCATGTACTTCAATAGGCTCAATATCTCCTTGTCCTGCAACCTGTTATTTACAGACTACATGGATAAATCCTGCATGAAGATCTGGCTGTAGGCGAAGCAGGCTGTACCCTACAGAGTTGCTCTGATAATTACAACTAAGACAGAATTCAATCCCAAACCTACTTATTTTAGATTGTTTCTACTACTTCCATCTACCTCAATATCCAGAAGTAGGTTAAAATTAAACTAACAGATTTTTTTATATTTATGTTTTGCCCAAGATACTAGATCTATTCAGATAATCCCCTTTTAAAAATCCATTTTTAAAACAAGAACTATAAAAAAATTCCCGAAATATTTCATTACCTTTCCCAGTTTCCTAATGGCATGTCCTCAAAGCTCATGGGTAAAAGTTGTTCTAGTGCCTATACATATCTGAGTGCTCCTGCTAAAAGATAAACTTGATGATGACCATTTTTCTTATTTTAAAAAAGCACACTACACGTTTACTTTTGCTTTGTAGCTGTAGAGACCTTTCACAAAAGCCAGTTTCTCTCAAGTCATTTATTTCCTTGCAAAATACAATCTACAACATAAAATACAAACCAGCATGTTTTCCTCTAATCCCTTTCAGCTACCGTATTATTCTATGCTACTGTAAAGCAGGGGTGAAAATTTCGGATGGAAAACATGAGTCAGTTAGATCACATCCCCTTCAAATACCTCAATTATTTGTAGCAGACAAACTTAATAAGGATTCAGAGGTTTGTTTTGTTTTGATTTTTTTTGAAAGTTCATAGGAACTATTATACCAGAAGACAGAGTAAATGCTCCAACCTAAGATAAGTATCTTCTAGTAACTCCCCCTGGGGAAAGCATGACTGAGGAGTTAGTATCATTAGCCAGCAGGAGAGTGATCTCATTTCAGTGACCTTGTTCTATCAGCATCAGCAACGACTTACAATGGCAAAGCATTTAATATTAATATGTAAACTCTGTCAAGTGCTTTCTAAAATGTCAAGTGCCCCTCCCCCAATTTACAAGATATTTTATAGATACTGTATTATAAGTGTGTTATGAAGTTATGTTATAAGCAGTTCTTAATGCTTTTGCTACAGGCTGAATCTGTAAGAGGTGACCGAGCAATCGGCTGTTATGGGATGTCTACTTTGGATAGATCAAACTCATTTTTCTAATATGCTTTGTCAGTGTTTTATTTCAGAGAAGTGACAAGCTGTTGGCCTCAACAGCTGTAGTGCTAATGGTTCAAGAGCCAGATAAGCTGGTAAATACAGAAGTTTTCAGACTTGGACAAGAAAAAGGATGGCAAGAGGAGTACAGGCATTAAATACTTGATTATACTTTGTCTCCTTTTAGACTATTCACCATCAGATGGACACAGGGTGTTTAAAAGACTTTTATATTTACTTAACACATTCATAGCTTCCTTGCTGGAAGCAGATAGTCATTGACATACTAGAGAAATAAATGTAGAAATGCCGTCGGCATGAAGGGGCTCAGATCTACCTCCACTAAGCTTCTCTACACACATTCCAACACTTCTTTTTCAGCAGAGTCTAACGATTTACATATTATTCTTAAGTAGAGGAAGTTTCAATGACAGATTAGTAACATAAACTGACAAGCTATATTGTGCCTGTCAACAATGCACAGCAGAGCTGTTGCTGTCTTTGGATGATGACAGTTGTCATGTAAAAAATACTCTGCTTTTCTTTATATAAAAAATACACTATCTGAAGTCAGTAAGAGACCATGAGTAAGCATTGAGTAGATTTTCCACACTCAGCTGAGCTCAGTTGTTAATGGCATTAAGAACAGAAGAATAAACCCCAAGTTTATGAATGTCTGACAACAAACTGTGTAATCCTGGTGCATCACTGTCGGTGTTGCTAAATCCGGTCTTGATACCATAGTGTCAACATCCATCAGGTGCAAGCACCACATGCCACCTCAGTCATTCTGTGCCTTTCTGTGGAAGTATGTGCAGATCTTCCTCATGGAAACTGAAGTTGTTGCAGCCTAGGAAGTAAAAAAAACCCAAAACCCAACAAGAAACGTTTCTAAGTTAACACTTCATATGCTGCAGGAGTCTTAAAGTCTTCCCTCCACCATTGCTTCAGTTTGTTCAGCTTCCTAACTAAGACAGAGTAAATGAAAGGTTCTTTACTATAAGCTGTTTGTCTTGCAGATAAGAAGCTTACTACCTACAAGAAGCACTGGCTAAAACCTAGGGTTGTCTTATTGCCATAAGAAAAGCATTCTGGCGGCAGTTTCAGCTTCCCTACAGCTGATAAGAGAGCTGCAGAATTCCAAGGTGCAGCAAATCAACAAATGCTGCTCATATTCCAGGAACCTCAAGTTTTGAGTACAAAACAAGAGCATCCCAAAATCTGAACTAGAGCATACTGAGCAGGAAAGGTAATTGTTCTGTAGTAATCTTACTCCAGGGCAAATCTTTCTGTCTTGTGTTTGAACATGTACAGCATAGAGCACAAGTAGTGGTAGGTTTCTTATAATCAAGATTTCTTGGTACCACCACAATATGAAGAGTTCAGCTGCTATGTATAACTTAAGGAGTGGTGACTTGCCTGCTTCATATCTGATAGAAGTGCTAGAAGAGGTAAAATAAAGTAAGAAATGAGATACCAAAATAAGCCTTAATGTTGGCAACAACTTCTAGTGTCAGATATTCAACTGAGAGTACAATTAAATTTTATGATTTGAAGTTTACCTAACATTTACTGAAATAACACTCAAAGACACTGTAGGACTTGGAGTCCACTTTCAGAGACAAGTCAAGTTTGGTTTGTTTTAAAAAATGTAATTATCATTTCTCAGTTTACACGTTAAACCCTCATGCCTTCATGCCAACTTTTTTAGCTGCTTTATAAGCTTAACTTTCAGATCCTAGGATGAGCTCTGTGTTAGGCTTCTTGTACATCAAAAGTAGGATTATGTACGTCAAATCCTGCCAATTCCTTCGTATTCTGCTAGTTTTCAACTGAAGGGACTGAAGCATTATTTAGCCCCATGGTTTTAACATGGGTAACAAATTCTTTTGCTACCTAGGCTAGAGTAGAATTCAGCTCTTTCTTCCAATGCTAAACTGGTTTTCCAGCACATAAACAGGCAGATGTGATGTGAATACATAAACAGTACATCTGCTAGGAAAGGTGCTGTCATTACTGTGCTTCTCAGAGTAGAGCTGTATTTCATGATGATGGCTACATCCTTCGAACATCGAGCTGGGGACCATGAGAATCTCTGAGCTTCTGTGTGCCCTAAGTCCCTTTAAGATGAGGGACACCACCATCCATCCTAAAAATTCTGTTTCTGCACAGAGGAGATTAGTAGATAACAGCGTTAATGTATCTGGTTTATTAGGCCATAAATCACCCCTTTTTTCCATAATCAAAGGGATCAGATAATTCTTTGAATGCCTGAGCATGAGAGAACAAACAAGGGAAGAGTAGCAGCCAGGGATAAGTTCTTTCATGAGCACTGTCACTGATCGTCTTACTTACAGTTTTTGGTGAAGTAGCTGCTGCCACAGCCTCTTGTCGTTTGACACCAGGACTGCAAGATGATGGGGGGCTGTTTGATGCACGCTGGCTGCCAGACCTGCCAGTCCGTAGCTTCTCTCCTAGAGCAGACAACCAATTTTTTCTTTCAGGTGAACTATTCTCTTTATCTACTACCTCACTGTCTTTCCCACATGGAGATCTGAAAAGAAGGGGAGCTTGAATGCTCAATGGGTTTTTATGGCTTCCAGGGAAGGAAGACTCTTTCAGGCTGCAGCTGGAGCCTTCGTGGTCATTATCCAAGTCAGCCAGGCTGAGAGAGTCTTCATCACAAGCATTTTGGTCTTCAGCCAAATGACATAAGTTCAGCTTGGACTTCTTAGCTGCATGGTCCAGTTCAGTCACACAGCTACAGGCCTGCAGACACTTCTGCCCCACATCGTCTTTCTTGCTGCAGTCAAGCCTTCTCTTGGCACGCTTTTCAAACTGTGAGTGTGGGGCTTTAGGAGGGCAAGTGGTTTCCAGGAGACCTTGGGTGACTTCTGCTAGGGCTTTTCTAGGAGAAGGAGCCTTTATCTCCACTTCTGTAGGAGAAGAGCATGGAGTCCTTGTAACCCAATGTTTAATGGACATTTTGGAGGAAGGGATCAGTTTGGGAGAAGCACATGGGCTGGTTCCACTCTGCTTGGCTGGGGTGCAGGCTGTGGCCATCTGGGTTTTGAGAGCGCACGTTGGAGTGTTTGTAGACAAGGGAAGATCTCCAGAATAAATGGGAGCACAGGCAGCCGGCCGTGGTGAGGAAATGCATGGGCTGCCCACTGTGAAGACCTTGGCAGGAGTACTCTGTGGGCTGGCAGGCAGTCCTGATAGGGGAGAAATAAGTAGTCTGATGAGGCACACAGAACAGCAGATTAAAGACAGCCCTTTTATAAACACCCCTTCCAACTAGGAGATGAATTTAGCACTAAGTCTTCTTCTCAGACATAGCCTTTTGAATTAAGAGGTTGCATAAATCCGTCTGATTTTGGTTAAACTGGTATGAGTCCTGTGTAGAAGCCTGTATCATATCGGTAAGTATAATACAGTGCGTTTGCAATCTCTGACGTCTATCCCTTCTGTAACAAGCACTCTTATGTGAGCTACAGCCAAGGGACTGATGGGCAGACAAAACAGATCTTGAATGTTCCAAGTTGATCTAACCTTGCTGGAAGCCTTGCAGTGGCTTAGTCCAGACAGCTCTGTACTGAGATGCTGCCTGAGAGCCAGGCTGATCCCCACCTGCATCACCATCTTTAACCGCTGCGTAACAGTTGAGAGACAAAGGGACTGTGAGCAGGTCCCACAGCTAATTACAATACCAAGGAAGCTATAATGGCATACCATATGAATAATGTTCCTAGTCAGGCGTTAATAGTTGCATATTTTAAAGATGGAAAAAACAAGAGTGAGAACAGGAAAGGACATTCTCTTGTCTTTTTGATGGAGGATTTTCTGCAGTGCTACATTAGTATGAAGATGATAGTTATTTACCACACCCAGGGAAATAAGAGAAATTCTTCACCTCCTGAACAGGGACTTAAATTTCAAAGGAAATAAAACCTGTCACTGTAGTAAGTTACTCCTTTAAAGCAAATTATTCCCAAATAGATATTTCAAGTGGCTTTTGAGCTCACCAGCCAAGATGTACACTCCCCTGCTTTTAAAAAAGAGGTTCTGAATATCCAGACTCTTCAAAGAGTAGTCACATGTAGGGGCATAAGGACCTTGCTAGTAACAGTGGGACTCGTATTTAGCAAAGATCTTGTTCTGTAATATTAGAGGAGGGGGTTTTAAAATTTTTTATTTATTTATTTCTGGCACCCTCCAACAGAGAACACATTAGCAGGTTTGTTACATGACTGTTTTCTCATTCATCTAACTTGCGGTGATGAAATTAAATATGATAGCACCATAGTTACTCTATGCATTTCCACTGCTGAGCACAAGAACTCTAAACATCTTCTGTATACCAAGGGTTTGATCTGAACTCCTAATTCTCAGCATTAGCACTGTACTATAAAGCACTTCATTAGAACAATGAGAAGTCTAGTGTGAATAACCTGCCATTTTCTTTAGGACGTTGGGCTGTCTCACAAATAACATGTCGAGTGAGTCACCTACATGACTTGTTGATAATATACCATACTAAGCCTCCTTCAATCCCTCCTTTTACTGTGTTATCCAGTATCCAGAATACAAGTACTGATGCATCAGGGCAAAATTAAATAAGATCCTGTATTAAAGGATACCACTACAAAACACTCTAACACACAAAGCAGAGTTAAAGGCTCCTTTCCTGATAAAATATGCTACTTCATAGCAACTTGCTTCAATCTGGACTAAGAGAAAGTAACTGCCAACATCGGTTCTCCTAATCTTTACTTTAATGAGCATTTACAAGACAACAATATCTCAGCTGGGGAATTAGTTGCACTTAAAATGCTAAGCTCCTAGAGGTAGAAGAGGAGTAGCAAACTCAGAAACTCTTGATCCTTAATGACCACCTACGAATTCATACAGGAGAAATATTGCATAAATAGCTGTGTATGAGCACTCTCAAACCCAAACCAGTCTGAAAGTTATACTGTGGAGACATTGGATAAGGGGAAAAAAGCTATCTTGAGAGTTTGATGGGCATCACCAAATGAAACAAACCCACACTTGAGAAACATTGTGAAACTTCACAAAAAATACGAGGATCAGACTTTTTGTTAAGACTGCATGCATTATTCAAGTTTCTACTAAGCCAGTTCCAAGCTGTTTCCATTTACGCTGCCAGTGCATGTAGTACAACACTGTAATTACCTGCAGTCAACCTGCATTAACACCAAAGCAGGTGATTTCAGGTATTTCCTACCTTCTCTGCTACAGATCTCCTAGAGTGATATTATTAATTTCCAGATCTAAGAGTCACAAATTGTCCATGCACAGGCCTGCTCCAAAAATTTGGTTACACTAAAACATAGAGAAAGTAGTGCAACTTAGGAAAACCACAAAAATAATTTCCAAAGAAAAGGAAACTGTGCTTGGTACACTGGATGATATAGGTCAACAGTCAATATGCAACCTCAATCTTAAAATTCGTTCCACATAAATGGGTGGGGAAATACCTCGATCTCATCCCAGCGGGTCTGAAATAGTACTTGGCTTGCCAGCTCTGAATCAGTCTCTGCAGATAACTCCCATATTCTAACAGCATGTGCTTTGTGTTCAAGAGCCAAGGTCAGCAGGAAGCCTGCTGTTGTATTTGCAGTGTCTGTGTACTTCCTCTTCCCTCCCCTGTTACTTTACTGCAGCAAGAGCATGGAGAAATAAGTTCTTTTTCTAGTATAATTGCCAAAGCTGACTCAAAGTTTTAGTGTACAAGCTACTTTAGATTTCAGGTTTCTGGACTAGACCTATGCTTATTTCTCTTTTGCTGAAAATAGTACTCAAAGTGATTTTTGAGCTCTCTCTGAAGCAGAGAGTGTACACGCACAAACCATTTACCGGCTACAGAGCAGACCTGGCACTCTCCCTGCTATTGTCCTTCAAACTTCCTGCAAGACAGTTACTCACTGGCAAAAGGTTAGAAGCAATGTTATCCCATTAGTGGGATTTGGAGACCTTCAGCCTTTATTTGTGTTAGCCAAGGTGAAATTCATTTGGAGGGTGGCTAGAAAAGATAGGTGGAACACAGGAAGGCACACCAGCAGCTGCTGGGAAGCTATTGTATTCTTAGTTTCAGAGCTACTCTACAGAGAAGCTCATCTTATTTCACTTCGGGGGGTGTGTGTTATTCTCCTTTCACCTACTCTACTGTAACAAAACCTAAGTTTCAGACAAGTCGAAGCAGTGCTATGATCCAGGGCTTCTTTCTTCTCGTCTAGGGTACTGTCCAGGGAATAGCTTCTCTGTAGAGCCCAGATGTGCTTGCTAGCTGTGAGAGCATGGTGCATAGCTTGTCTGATTGCCTAGACATTGTAAAAAGGTATCGTGTTTGTTAACTAGCCTTAACAAGTGAATAGATGAATGCTGCTGATTAATTCTGGAACATTATATGCATATATTACATGCATATTTGAAGTACTTTCCTACGTGGCACTTGTCTGTATAGACAGTCAGTACTACCGTATGAAGCTAAATACAGAGATGTAATATTGATAGCAGCAGCAAAGAAATCTGTGCAGAATTCAGCTACTGGGCAGGAGGAAACCAAGACTGTATATGTGCCATCAGCCCTTTACTGGGTAAACAAATAAACTGGAAAAAACATATGATCTTACTGCTTGCAGTTATTGTTTGATATTAAAAATGTGTGACTTATTGCTGCAGTGCATGCACACATGACATCTACTTTGGCTGGTCAATTATTGAACCCTACTAATACCCACTGAAGATCTGGCTACCCAACAAGGTGTACTAATGAATATTTGCTTTGCAGTCTGGTCATACAAACTTCGGCATACTTCTAAGATATTTCAGCCAGCTTGTCTTGTTGGTGGGCAGAAGTACTTACAAGCAGTTTTTGTCTGGCTATATCGCCTAATATGAAAAAAATAGATAACTAGTAAGACAAGCCAAAGTCTTTTCTTGGTACAGAGATCAGCCAAGATTCAGAAGCCATGTTTCAGAGCAAGATATCTCAGCTCAGGGGTCTTACCTGGTCCATGTTGTTCTTCTGGTCTCTTCTGAGTGACCCAGCCCACCACGCTGATTTTGCTCAATGATGATTTCTCCTCCTCAGGACGAGGTCGTAAGCGCCAAATTCTCACAGTGTTGTCATCAGAGCACGTGGCAATCTACAGTATAAATTAGTTTGTTGGAGGAACCAGGGCACATCCTATGGATCACTGGCCAAGCAAACTAGAACAGTTACACCCAACACACCATGCCAATATGAGTGAGGGTGAAGCCTGGTTGAGGGCGTACAAGATTTGCCCATAAAACAAACAAAACCCAGCTCTGTTTCATTACTGTACCAGAGAGCAGTATTTGCTTTAAAGCAGGCAACGCTACTGCCTTCATGTCTTTCTGCTAGAGAAATCTCAGTCACCAGTAACCATTTACCTTGTGTAGCTCCGTAACAGATGGTAGTCTGCTCAGGAAGGGCCAGGGCATATTTTGAGATTTCAGTCACTTGGTAGACAAAATCAGCCATGTTTTTTTCACCTGCATTGAGTTCTGTCTCTGTTACTTAGGACCCTTTCTGCTTGAGGACAAACATTTGCAACACACCAAGAAGGTGACATTGGAAAGCTGTTGCACTAGCCTTAAGCACCATCTCTTCATAGTCAGCAGTATCTGGCAGAGAAACCAAATCTGCTAGAAACATTGGTCTAGGTTCCTGCCACAGCATCACAGGCTCCAAAATGATTTGTGGAATCTTGTCTGAAGCAGCAGCAAAACCCACCTAGCCCATGTTTTATGGCTCTCTTCAGACTAACTGGTGACTCACATGGGAATCAGCAGCAAGAAAAAGGAAATGCTGTGGCCAAAGTTCATAGTAATCTGGATGGGAAAGTGCCTCTGCTCTGACCTCTGTGACACCAATATTGTCCCTACAGAAAGCACCTTTGCCTCTCAAATCACTCCAAGTAGCTACCTGACCTGTCTTAGCACCACATTTTCCACTTTTCTTCATGCTTTGGCACCTGTACCATGTCTGACTGTTTCTCACCTGTGGCAGTAACGATTTTAAAGGCTGCATTGGTCTGCATTTCCAACACATCACAATCAGGATGCTGGGATTCCTCTAGATCACAGATTTAATCTAAAATGCTAATTCTCATATTTTTGTGCATCTTACACAACTAGAACAATTCCTCCTGTTTGTCTGCAAGACTCCCACCTTCCTAAACTGCAACTCTTTTCTGAAGACCCAGTGATATAGTGCAAGTGGCTGACTTGGTTAATAATGTGGGGTGAAAGAAACTGGCTATTATTAGGACACTGTTTAGGATTTTTTAGGTTTATTTCTCATTTTGAGCTAGACCAATCATTTGAACCAACCTCCTACTGCAGTTCTCTTCATGATACCTGGTACATAATTACTGACCTGAATTCACTGGAAGTTTTTGGGTGTACACACAAATATGTCATAAAAACAGCTCAGATTTTGAAAAGGTCACAATGAAAAAAGTCCACATATTTTTTTAAAGGGCATTCAAAGCTTTTTGCTGCTCTGTACAAAACTAGCAGGTGTATCAATGGTCAGACAGATAAGGAAGCTGAAAGTATGGAACCACAAAACAAGCTTTTGGCTTATGAAAGCCCTGATTAAATGGTCTCAGTTTTGTCTCTAACAGGTAGTGTCACAAGCTCTTGTCAGAGAGCTTTGTTCATTTGCAGTTTCCTAGGTCTTATCAAATAGCTTAAATGATTAGAAAATATGAAAAAGTTCTGATACATTGTTCTCATGTAACAAGCTTTTTTTAGTGCCCCCCTAAATGAACATTTTTAGAAATTATTGACTAAAAATTTTCTCCCAAATACACAAATACTGTTGCAATTTTGAAAAGCAGATGTTGCCACCTCACATCTATTGTTTCATGGGAAAGAAAATTTTCCAGAAAACAAACCTTTGTGAAGTCTGAAGGACACCAAGCAATGGAGGTTACTTCTTGAGAGTGACCAAGGAGTATCCGTGGGGGAAGGCTGGGCTCAGAAACCTTAAAATTTCCATTAAAAAAAAGAGTATAGAATCAGAAGCACCACAGTCTAATATACATCACAAAGAAAAGACCCCACAGCCCACCTGTGAAGCATGTGAATACTTCCCATCTTTCCTATTTGACACAGATAAATCGAATGCTCTCAGCCTGTCATCATGAGGCAACAACTGATGGAACCCTAAAATCTGTTTATGTTTCATCTCTAGAGGTGAAGCAGCTGATCAGCACTAAGATGTACTGACTTGCCTGGAAACACTTGTTCAATTCCTACTGCACATAGGATTTCTGCCTCCAGAGTTGTCAGCCCAAAACATGACACAAGCACTTTATTAAGTAGGATGCTGAAAAGTTTGGGAAATTCATATGCTGAATCAGGATAGCCAAATATATTCTGCTGCCATTTTACAAATGTCCCAGTTAATGGTTTATTAAAAAAAAAACCAAACCCCAAACATGACACCAACAAAATCCTGTAGATGAACCTTCACTGGCTTCAGAATTGGCATTTGTGGGACTGTGAAGTGCCTGTACCTCCTCCAACCAACCAGCTGGACCAAACACCCTTTTAAGAATTCATTAAAAAGCTCTCTAAATAACTCATGTTCATTAAACTGATCTCCATTTCTCTTACACCCTTCATAAAAAATCTACCTTCTGTTCTACAATATTACTATTAATCTTCAACTACAGCTCATGTAAGTGACAGATACAGCCAAAGCTAGCATTAAGTGACCCGAGGAAGAAAACACACACATACACACACAGAGATTATATCCAAATTTTGCATGGTTTCAGCAGGCAATCCTTTCTGGAGCTATGAGTCACCATTATTGATGTGACATTATAAGGGGGATTTATCAAGGGGATTTGCATAAATGACTAAGTGAATGAACCAATCCTTTACTGTGTGGGAAAATGAGAAGACATTACATATAGATTTCAAAGGAAGATGCAAGACATTGGGGGAAGGCTTCTGATTTACACAAGTTTTTCTTTTGTGGCTCACTTCGTACAACAGCCTGCAAAACCACAATTGAATATCCAGCTTCAGATCTTAAAGTTGTTCTCATACAAACAGGCTCATCTTAACAGGCTGCTTTTTTTTTTTTTTTTCCTGGCATAGCAGAGGCAATCATTTGACTAAATATCCACTAAATGCCTTGGTCAGAGTATTCCCTTCTCTGCCAAAACATGCAATACCATGGAAACTAAATCTCTATTTAGGGAATAAACAACAGATCTTGGTGCAGAGAACACCTTCGTTTACATTTAATAACAGTCTTGCTATGCACGCATAACTGACACAATAGTGGTCTAGTAGCCACTTTCAGGAAACCAGAGGAAAAGAATAACTCTTGCTGAGACACAATGCTTTCACGCTACTAGTGTAAATTAAACCAATTACACCCATCTTAAAATACTGTGAACTGAAAGAGGATGCATAGTTATAGCTGTGTGCACTCTGTTTAGCAGAAGACAGCTGGCCAGCCTGTGCATGTTAAGTCAGGATTAGCCAGAGAACTTGCTGCTTTTTGCCTGATTTAACAGGATATTGGTGGGGAAGTTAGAGCTATTGTGGAAAGGTTAAAAAGAGAAACCTAGGAAATGAGACTTTATTAGTTACTCTACTCACTGAAACAGCTGTTGTATCCATCTTCAAGGGTCAGCAAAAAGTGGTGTACATAGTTTTATGCACCATATGACACAGAAGCACTTCAATTCCCATGATGGAACAGACCAAAGGGTAACTTAATATGGTTCCCTCGGCATGGTCTGTACCAAAGGATTCAAAGACAATGGAAGTATATGTCTATGAAATATCATTTTGTATTACCAGGAAGGTATCTCAGCTGGGTACCATCTTTGTCAAGAAAAACCTCTCTGCTCTCTGGCTTTTATAATCTTAGGGTTGTTCAAGAGTCAGTTCATTAATAAGACTAGCAATTAAAAAAAAAAACAAAACAAAACACAGTGTAATAAAGCAAGTGTTCGTTGCCTGGAAGTGATTTATGTATGGAAACAGACTGAAATAGCGTCCTTGTCAGCAATAACTTCTAGCCAGTGTTCCTTGGGAAATGCTGACCCAAACACAACTTAGCATTGCTCTTAAGAGTTTCTCAAAGAAAGAATCTGGGTGGACAAGGTCTTTCTCTGCCTTTCATTCCTCAACAAGGCCTTCCTCTGCCTTTCATACCTCTCTAGATATGGAAAGCTAGCACTACTCATTAAGTTCCTTCCAACATTACCTATTAATTGCTCAAGTAATATATAATCATGTTTTTTTCACAGCATAGTAAGTCCTCATACAAGGACAAGATACATATGTTTGAGTCAGTAAAATCTGCCAACATTTAAAACAAATTAAGAAGCCTCTGTATATAACAGATCTTGAAAGAGACAGTTTCACAGGGAGTCCCACATTTTAACATGACTATGGGACTAAAGTAAAAGTAATCATCTGATGACTTATTTAATAACTATGCAGTACGATCTGTCACTTGTGATAGTAACAGAAGCCTTCTGTACATGAATGCATTTTAAATGTACTTTAAATGCTTAAACTTTGAGATGTAATGACATCCTTGAATGCTCTCAGCTCAGACCCTGCCTGTGTTCCAAGAAAGTATCAAAACACACAAATGCAGGATGCTCAACTCAAGTTTGCACAGGTATTTTTTGCTGAACTTGCACAGAACATGAGGAAGGTTAATATCATACCACTTGGCAGGGGAATAACTACGCTACCACACTCCTGCTACTACTGAGTAAGCAATCTAGCTGCTTACAAGTGTTCTCCAAATCAAAGAGACTACATTCTTAAACCACAACTTCAGCAGGCTGACCCTTGGCTCTGAAAGGTTTGTATTTTACTTTCAAACTCATTCTGAAAGGGATAAACAAGTCAGCATTTCCCCCAAATTACCTCAAACCTGAAACAGGCAGTCACCTGTGGTTTCTGTCTATTTTGCTTGAATAAGAAGTCTACTCTGTTCCCATATGGCTGTCAAGTATGGAGAACAGAACTTAAAGCATGCCTTAATCTGAGATCCCTGATATTAACTTGGTGACATTTGCATTTCCTACAGTCAGTGCTGAGGAAGCCTCTTGGCTGTCAGATGGTGCTTTGGAATTTTGCTGAAGGCTCTGGCTGAGCCCTTGCTGTACTACAAAGGCTTTAACTACTGTAAATTAAGCATGAGAAAAAGTTGTCTGAAGAAAGAGCTGGAAAGAGGGGAGGTGGGGGAGAAAGTGCCCTTTAAAACAATAAAGTTGTTAGTTTTCTGCTAATGTGCTCCATTGATAAATATGAGCTGAGAACTGTCTGTCTACTTGTCATAGCTGGCTAAATCAACAGGATTGAAAGAGGATTTTAATGCCCATTAAAACCAGATTAAGATCAGCAACTTGCAATAAGCAGCAGTGATGAGAAAGGTATTGATGGCAGGAGGTTGGCGCTGGTTTACATTAAACAGTTACATCTAGCCTTGTCAGCAACAAACACACTCTGGGCAGAACATGCCAGGTGCTAACCCATGCTGCTTTGAGTAGGAGTGGGAGGAAGAGAGTGTCCTATGTGGACATGAAAACCAAATAAAACGGAAGAGCAGAGCAGCTCTGAGTTGCATGCTTAAGTCTGTTCCAATTGCCTCACCTTCCAGATGTAAGCGTTGCAGTCACTTGAGCCACTGACCAGGAACTGGTCATCTGGGCTGGTGCTGGACTTGATGTAAAAGGTTGAATTTTGGTGCCCGCTGAAAACGGCCACTGTGAAGAGAGAATTAGAAAAAGAAAATAAAAACCCCATTCCATGCACAGCCCTGGAGTCAATTTCGCAAGGAGGGCTGATCTTACAGGCTTTTCCTGCAGAGCCACATATCCTCTGGAGAAAGTGGTTGCACTGCTCCCTCACTCAGAGGCTCTGGCAGCATGAAGTTTTTATTATTCAACTGGAGTTCTTTAGGCTTCCCAAATGAAGCAATAGCTCTCTCCACAGCCTTAGGAAGTGGTGGCAGTTTCGTTAAACCTTTAGCTTGACCCTTATGGCAAGCAGGCTGAGACATCACCTGGGCTGTCACACTACTCTCATTAAGGTTCCTTGTCTCTTCCTCCCTCAGCCACTGTCACCAGCCCTACTATGTTAACAAGGGCAGTCGCACAGAAAACATAGTGAGGACCTTCTTCCACCCAGGTAGCAACAAAGGTGCTTGCTGCTCCTTCCTCCTGCTGCCAGTATCTTTATTTTGTCAACAAAACTTTCATCATGTCAGCCATGCTCACTGGCTGCCTGTATTTAAGGTCTCAGTAGCCTTTGCTAAAGCCTTGAAACCATTGCTCCGAATGGCTGCCATTCCCCCTATTGCAATGACCATAAGAACCAGCAGCTAGCACAAGAGCTGAGTGTGGATCTAGAGCACTCGGACACACCATGTCTCATCCTCTTGTTGGGGCAGAAAGGATGAGTTTCCCAAGGTAGCACCAGGTGGGAGCTGGTACCCCCTCTGCCAACCCTGTTTTAACTGATTTTGATGGAGGTGACCAGAGGACACGTGGCTGCCTTTGGTGGTCTTTGAAAAGTTGCAAGAACCCACAATATCCTTTAGTTTTTACCCACAGCTGTCTCAGTGCAGTGGTTACCAGACAGCAAGTCCCTTCCTAAGCCAGACCTACCAGCAAGTCCTGTTCCAGTGAGGATTTCCTCATGTGCCCCTGCAAACTAAAGCTGCCTCAATACTGGCTAAGAGCAGGCGTCATCTGGATAAGAGTTGGCAAGTGAGGAGAGAGGCGCCAACCTGTGGGCAGGCGCTGCCCTCTGTGGGAGCACTCGCACACTGAGAAGCTGCACATGCTTCATTCAGCTGGATCAACCAAGATTGCTCGCTGGGTTTTATCAGCTGCACACAGAAGGCAAGAGCTCCACAAGGAGCCCGAGGGCAAGATGCCCTGTGCTTTGGAAGGAGCTCTCTCCTGGGGGAAGGCAGGCCAGTGAGCATATTTTCACAGCTCAGCGGTGGCACCCGGGGTTAACCTCAACAACTGACCAATTTACTACTGGTACCACTTCTCGACTCTGGAAGCATTCCCGCCCACCAGACGGCCTTTCTGAAAAGCAGACAGGACACATTGTTCATTTAATTTCAATTAACTGAGAGACTGAGAAAAGGCAATGGAAACTAAATCATGTGTATGGCTGGAATGCATCTAACAAGTTTTGCTGCTTTCTGAGAAGAAGCCACTGGCCTATGACAAAGCAACTTAGTGCACCAAAGGCTGTGGGCTATCTTGTCAACCTAAAAGTCACAGATGCAAAGCTGGGGATGCTTTCTCCCATGAACTGCAGTAGAAGCTAAATTTAAAAGACACCTTAAAATATCTGAATATGACTTATCAGGTGATCACTTTACATGGATACATATCTTAAGAGTTTGAAAAATCAGTGACTACAAGTAAGCAGAAGATTCAAGCTTGCTTCAGGTGGGTAGTAGCTGGACACCAGCCATTCCTCACCAGATAACTAGAGTCAACATTAGTCTCTGGGTGAACCAGTATCTGCACTTGCGTTTTTGTGCTACTGATTTTATGTGGATGGCTTAACACAAAGTATGAACAGCCCTTGTAACAGGCACCTTCTCTCCCAGGTAGCTTCAGAGATAAGACTAGGTTTCTTAAGTGTTCAAGCTGGTTTATGTCATCAAGTCATAGGGAGAAACTTGCCTTTCTATGCTCTGGAATAGCTATTTTTTGCAGCTATTTCCACAGATATCATGCTTACCTGGAGTGGTCCTTAAACTTGTCATATTGAACATGTAGATACTGTCATCAGTGCAGTTAGCAAACAGATTAGCACCAGTGGAATCCAAAACCAGGCTAGAATATCCTATAGACAAAAGGATAAGTTCTTCATAAGAAATAACTCCACAAAAAAACATTTTGGAAAACAGGCATTGTCAAAGAAAGGCCTAGAAAGGGAAATTTAGAAATGACCTCTTACATATGAGATAGTCATTGGAAAGTTTATTTGTTTGACACAGCACTTGCTGGAGAAGAAAAGTTTCTAGAATAACATCTACATTTTCTCATGAGGATTCAGAGTGATATTTAGAGAGCAGGCAAGCTATCTGATAGTTTCAAATGGATAACAGGAACAACCAATTGTAGAAGCAGAGATTAAAAATAGAAACCCTCATGCTTTGGTAGAAGAAGCCATCCTCCGATTTGCTAGTGATCTTTAGCCTAGTAGAAAGCGACAGGACAAGAGGGAATGGCCTCAAGTTGCTCCAGGGAAAGTTCAGACTAGATATTAGGAAACATTTCTTTCCAGAAGGGGTTGTTAGGTATTGGAATGGGCTGCCCAGGGAGGTGGTGGAGTCCCCATCCCTGGAGGTGTTCAAGAGTAGGGTTGATTTAGAGCTTAAGTATACGCTGTAGGTGGGAACTATGCTAGGCGAATGGTTGGACTAGATGATCTCCAGGGTCCTTTCCAACCTAGATGATTCTGTGATTTAGGTTCAAGAAAAATCTTTTCCTGCAATCAAGTTATTTCATAACCAGCTCCTCGATGATTTCCCTCATGTTCTTGGGGCTGACACTGACCATTACCACATCAGGACAGTTGATTAGACAAGTCATCAGGAATTACTGTGTTGCATCAGAGCATCGCAAGGCATTAAGAAGCACAGAACAACATGAACAAGAGCATTATTATTTTTGATAACAAACACCTTCAAGTATTACTCGACTCTGGAAGGTTATAATGTAAAAACCCAGTCCAGTCTGTTGTCTTTGCAAGTTACAATGCAAAAGAGTTCAATGTGATTTCTACTCATGCATCAAAATTAGTAGCTAAATTCTACCTCAAGAGATCTACTATTCCCTCATCTCAATTTCTGAAAATGCACTGCTGAAGCTTATGCAAGATTTTATCACTGGTGCATGATACAAAAATGGGACACTTTCACTCCTCAACTTGAAAATTTGGTATTGAAAATCAAAATACCCTGCTGAGCTTGTCAGTCTGATCAATAATTGGCTAAAAAGATAAGAGGTGGCACTGTCAGTACTTCTTAAATTCACTTCGTACTTTAACAGATACATCCTCCCATAACTTACCAAGTTTGCGAGTACTGGTCCCAGGGTAGCAAAAAGACTTGAAAGGCACTGGGTCCTGACGATAAGCAGCATAGTTCTTGCGCAAGTCCCATACTTTGATCACACTGAAATAGAAAGGCACAAGTGTCTTCAAATTCAAAATTTCTTTTGCAATGCTGACAGGGCCTTCTAAGAGCACAGGAAGACTCGTTGCTCATTACTGGGGAGCATCTAGTGCTAAGGAGGACAACTGAGCAGAAGTAGAGGAGAGATGTGCTGAAAGCAAAGCAATTGCTCTGCTGGATATGGAAGAGGAAGCAGCACTGTCTTCTGTAACCAACGCAAGATACAACAAGAGCCAGCAAGTCAACTTTCTTCAACTAGTAAAAGAAAATACAAGGATGCCTTTATACTCCTGACTTGTAGTTTTAGAAGTTCTTCAAGTTTTTTCTTGGTCTCCCAGAGCAAGCCTATCTCATGAGCCATAGGCAAGAGAATCGAGCTCATCTGCCTCAGAAAGGCTCTGACCACATGGAGCCTGTTAAAGATTTGAGTCCTGAGAAGGTAATCTCTATGCTAATCAATGAGACAGTTTGTCTGAGTTTTAGGACGCTGCAACGGATCTGGCACCCAAAAGAATGCATCTTTTGTAACTCAAGGCAATATTTTCTCAAGCATGCCTACACATATCCAGGCACCAACCACCCACTCACATCCCAAAACAGCTCACTGTCTAACAACAGTCTGTTTATATCTGGTCCCATAGGTTCATGAGAATAGAGAGAGATGGTAAGAACTGCTCTGATTCTGCCCCATAGCTAAGACACCAAAATGAGCATTTACCACATATCCCAGCTCTGCAATATCCAGTAAGGAAAAAAAGCAGCATTCAGCTTTGTCAGTGCAAGCTGGCAGTGTAGCTCTGTCAATTCTACCTAATAGTAACTCTAGCCTCATGGGCCACTGTGTGATCTTAGAAAAAAAATGCCCCAATCTTTCTGTGCCCCTAAGGAGAACACACAGAATAGACAGAAAAACAGGCATCCTCTCTCCTTACCCATCAACAGCTCCTGCAGAGATAAGAGTATGCTCGTCCTGAAGCAGCACCACAGTTACACTCTGCTGGAAATCCTTAAAAAGAAAAGGAAAAAAAAAAAAAAAAGCCACTTTATTTTCTTTCAAGGTCAGCAAGATCTTGCTGTTTAATTCAAGGCCAAGCGAATTGTGACAAAACCTCCTCCTAGCCAGGCAAGAGAACTTGGAAATACCAGACACCATTTATAATACCACAACCCTTCGAACCACCAGGGAAATTGGCACCAAGTTATAAGTATTTGGGCAGCAGTTTGAGATTATACCTTTCAGGTCAGAGATAAGAGAGCTGTCTGATCACAAGGTTTAATAGATTAAATAAAACCAGGGCTTATCCAGTAAAGCAGTAATTTACATGGTCAAAATAGGGGGAAAAAAGAAAGAAAAAAAATTACAATCCTCCCTATCTCCTCATAAAAAGGAATGCTGGCCATTGGCTTCCTCTCTGGAAAAAAAAAAGATGTATTTTCACATGCCATTTGCACAAAGATGGCTTTGATGGCATGTGGGTTGTTAGCCAACTAAACAGTGTCTAAAAATAGCCATAGCAAGTGTCCATGACACAAAAACCTACCTCTGCAAAGATAAATGGAAGCATTTACCACATTCAAGCCAAATATTCCTCACAATAATTACTTAGGTAGACTTCTATGAATAACACTTTTCTCAGAAGAGAGGTCTACATTTCATTTGTTCCCCAGATACCTACCACCAAGGGAGCAAGTCCTCTTAGGTTCTGCCTCTTCTTCTTCAGTTTGGAGGGAGTCTGCTTGTCAACCACATTGTGTGCTCCACTAATTTGATTTACCTGCCTATAAAATCCATCTGAAAGAAATCAAAGACAATTGATAGTTTCTGTGCAATTTTGCTATCATTTTAATAAAACAGGGATCAGCTTGGAATGTCCTAAAAAGGGGCTGAGACTAACCTTTAAAATCATTAATGTATTCTGAAAATAGAAATTGTTAGTTAAGTATGAAACTGATGAGAAGAACACAATAGAAAACAGAAGCATACATTGCAAAAAAATACAGAGGTCAGTGTAGCATAGGCATTGAAACTAAAACGGGCCTAGTCAGGCTGCCTTTGTACATCATTACCCCTTGGTCTGTTCTTCAGCATGCATCCTTGTCTGGGGCATTCAACGCATGTCATCCTGAGCAGAACCACACTCACAAGAAGGTTTCTAGTGCTTTTCCTCTCTATTTTATAATTTCCTATTTAGCCTTTTGCCTGCTACTTCTCACTCTTTGAAACTTACTGCTTTACTAGAGCAAAGTGACTTTTCTACTGCTTCCCTATACTTTCCACTATAATCACGTGGAGCTTCCCTTTTTCCCCAGCTGCCAGTTTGAAAAGCCATGGAACCTGGGTCAGATGGAGAGTGAGACATGTTCTGGCAGCACAGACCAGGAAACTGCTGGGATAGAGGGGGGAATTGGGAAGAAGCATAAGGGTAGGATCTGACTGGGGAAGGAAAAGCTCCAGGAAACAGAAAGAGGAGCAGAATGAGCTCACCCTGCATTTAATAGGTGTTCCCACAACATACTCAGTTGTTCCTAGCACTCACAAGAAGTTCCTTTGCTCCTGCACTTTCTGCCTTCCTTCCCACTCTGGCAGGAGCCTTCCCAGCTTTGCTTCATCCCTCTGGATGGCTCTGACCTATGTACTCTCACCCAGCACATCCATCTCCATGCAGTCCCACACACAGATATATTCTGTACCCCCTTATCTCCTTACCAATACACAAGGGTATTATCAGGCCATGACGTATATCATGCTGCAAATCTGAGACTGCTACAAAGTGGAAAAATGTATTATACATAGATGACTATCTATTCCATTATTTTACTGTACTAAAGCAGCAAACTGTTCTGACAATCCTCCTCTTCTTACCGAAGTGTTACCTATATTGTAACCAAAAGCATTCGTCCAAAAAATACATCCGAGTACTATTCTTATATGAGATACTGAGCTTTTCTGATACACGTGTGGAAGTTCACTTACCTTTCTTGTTGCATCTGGTATCCCAAACCATGATGTTTCCATCTCTACCACCAGTACAGAAGACAGCTGAAAGAGATAAAAAGAGTTCTACTAGCTTCCAAAAGTGTTGTTAATTAAATGAATGCAGTACTATGTGCCTCTGCCCCAACACTGGGGCTGGCAGTCCTAGAGATACAAAAAAACAGGCCATTGTCTTGGAATGCTTTTTAACTAGTTTCCTTACTATTCTTAATGTTTTTTTACTACTACTCTAGAGAAACCTGCTTATGAAGAGTATTTATACACTTATGTATGGAAGTAGGTGTCATATCTTAAACTGGCTCAAGATCAGAAATGTGCAGATGTTAGCATCAGGTCACTGTGAAGTTCCAACAAGTTAGTTTTGCTTCACTGGCTGGGTCACTGCTCAGTTGGCCTGTGCTATTTGTCAGTTTCCAAAGGCCTTTTCTAGCCCCTAAAGTACTCGGTGTGCCAGAGGGAAAGAGGAAAAAACAGACAGCAGGGAATATCAACGTTTACCTTTCTCAAATCTAGAAAAAGCAACTGATTTGAGGCTACACTGGTGACCCTTGCATATGCCAAGAAGCTCGCCAGCTCTCACATCCCACACTTTGGCTGTCTGATCTCCTGAAGCAGTGACCTTGAGAGGAAAAAATAAAAACCTTTAGTCACTTTCTGCACACAGTTCCCAAAGCATTAAAAATAAAGTCAGATGGCAAAAGACTGCTTACAATCTTGTGTTCCCCTGGTACCCAGGCAAGGTCAAATACTGCGTTTGAGTGAGCCTGCCATTCTAACAAGAAACAAAAGCCAAGATCAGTTCAATGAACTGCAGTATGGTATTTTGCAGAAGACTAAAGACTATCAGACACTGAAATCAGAAAACTTGTTAACAGCTTGCCTTAGGCATGAAAAACACAGAACAATTCACCTATTACTGCTCTTCTAAGAGCACACTCATGCTGTTCTTTGTAAAGAAGACTCAGCAAAGTATACCAGAGGATTTTGGTACTGCCCACATTTATGTTTAAATGACTTGCAAAAAGCTTTCTTTATTCTAGTAAATCACGTACTTGTCACATCAAACAAAGATCATAATTGATAAAATACTTACCTTTAAAGACGAGTTCGCTGTTAGTTTGAGCTTCAGTATCATACAGTCTAACAAATCCTTCTTCATTTGCAACTGCCAGTACATGCTCCAAATTCGGGGCTGCAAAGAAATTGAAATATATTTTTGTATTATGTACCTGATTCATAATCATGCCCCTGCTCCTTGTGAAGGGCCACAGACACTTTAAATAGGGTACACAGCAAATAGATATCTGTGAAATAAACAGTACTTACATAGCAATTGAAATGTTCAAAATGCAGAAACATTGATTGGCAAGCATTTTTTCAGGAACACGGGCAATCAAATGGCTCCAGGAGCAAATTTTGAGATAATGGCCTCTCTCACCAGCTATAATTCCTAGTTACAGTTTTCTGTATCTATACTACCTATCAGTCATCTGTACTTTCTATGCATCTGAGTTGGAAGGGCAGGAAGCTGTCTTGGAGAAACGCATAGTCTCACACCAAAACTAGACTACTAGAAATGAAAGAGTTTTGCCCTAAAGATTCAGGAGCTTCCATGCTTACTTCACTCATCACATATTTATCATGAGAAAAGGCTACATGTCGAGTGACACCCATCCACCTCTTTGATTTCTACATACTATTCTCCATGCTCTTATACCTTTTATGTACTTTGAACAAAGCGGAGTTTTTCAACTATGTAGCCTAGTACTGTCACCAAGAGGACATACCTGGAAACAGACAAAGCTGAAACAGAGAGACAGTAAAATAAATGTTTTTGTAGTTACTTATTTAAAGGAATACTTTCCACCAGTACATCTAGGAGCACCATGATCCAATTTCTATCACATCTAGGTGCAAGTACACTACTACCAGTTCACTTTAATTCAAGAAATTTTAAATTAAATCATAGAATCACAGAATGGTTTGGGTTGGAACAGACCATAAAGACCATTCAGTTCCATACCCCCTGCCATGGGCAGGGACACTTTCCACTAGACCAGGCTGCTCAAAGGCCCGTCCAACCTGGCCTTGAACACTGCCAGGGAGGGGGCAGCCACCACTGCTCTGGGCAACCTGTTCCAGTGTCTCAGCACTGACATATGAGACGTATTTGAACAAACAATAGCTGACAGCAGTGCCCACACGCTGGCCCCTAAAAGGGCCTTTCGGAAGGTGACTTTACCAGCAGAAAAGGTGCAGCCGAAAGGAGGGACCGGCATTCCCGTTTCCCCGTAGGACAAGTGGTCATCTTCTCGGCTGCACTGGTAGCCATCCAAGAGATGCTGCAGGGGAAGTGGCGAGGACCGACCTACAACGAGACAGACGGACCGTAACCGCACCAGACACCACAGACTCGGACGCGAGGGGACCCGAGGCCCCCACAGCGGCTGCAGAGGCGCCCGAACCGCCCCTCTCCCGCCGTCGGGGGTCTAAGCCGTGAGCTCCGAGACCACCG